CCAGCACAGAGTTGAGCAATGGCCCGATTTTGTCTCTGTGACCCTAGAAGGCACAGCTCATGGCCACACAGAGCGAGTGTTCACTTAGTGCCAAAAGGCAGGCAATACCAGAAGCCAAAGGACAGAACTCCGCGAAGGTCACCATGGCTTGGGGAGGTCAAGGGAGGCTTCCCGGAGGAAGCCTTCTGGGCGAACCAAGGTCAGCGAAGGCGTATCGGCACAGTAACAGTTGTTAATTGTTACTGAGAGCAACTATGTCCAAGGCACTGTGCGAGGTTTATTATCACATTTAGTTGTCACAACAATCTTACGAGGCCGGCATTTTATTTTTTAAGATTTATTTGTGCATACAGAACTGGGGTACAAGCCAGAGGTGCAGAGGCGGTGAGAGGATTCACCAGAGACAGAGTGGGGAGCAGAACAGGCCAACTGAAGAAGTACACTGCTGAGGGGAGCAGCGGTGAGACAGAAGAGGTCTGCCAGGCCATGTGGGTCACCTCCGGGGCCGGGGATCAAACTCGCACTGAAGCGGCCAGCTTGCAATGCTGCGTCCTTACCCATTGCGCCATCAGGGAGGGCACACCTGCACCATTTTTTAGGGGGAAATAGGGGCACATACAGAAAAGTCAGGTGCTTTGCTCCTGGCTACTCACCTAGTAAGCAGTGGAGACAGGATCCAAACATACCTCGAGGGTGGTTAACTCTAACTCCTGTGCATTGAACAATGGGCCAACCCCAGTCCACATGCTCTCACCTCCATGAGATAGGCATACCTGTGCCCATTTACAGGCGAGGAAGTGGAGAACAAGAGGCCTTTCTCCAAAGGCCCTGATATCATAAGTGCTCAGTGCTCAGTAGGCCAGAGGGCACTGCCCACCTGACTCTAACTACTCCCCGCCGCAGGCCCTGGGCTGGACCTTCGTGCTGCTGACCACGCTGCTGGCGTTTGTGGTGCGTTCTGTGCGGCCCTGCTTCACGCAGGCTGCCTTCCTCAAGAGCAAGTACTGGTCGCACTACATCAACATCGAGCGCAAGCTGTTCGATGAGACGTGTACAGAGCACGCCAAGGCTTTCGCCAAGGTCTGTATCCAGCAGTTCTTCGAGGCCATGAACCGTGACCTGGAGCTGGGTCACTCCCACGGGGCACTGACCACTGCCCCCGCTGGCGCAGCCACCCTGGCTCCCGGCGACGGGGCAGAGGGCGAGAAGGAGAAGCTGCGTGGCATCACCGATCAAGGCACCATGAACAGGCTGCTCACTAGCTGGCACAAATGCAAGCCGCCACTGCGGCTGTCCCAGGAGGAGCCACCGGTGGGCAACGGCTGGGCCGGGGGCAGCTTCCGGTCTCCACGCAGGGAGGTGGCCACCTACTTCAGCAAAGTGTGAGCTGTGGCCAGGTGAAGAGCCAGAGGTTCTGGGTCGTGGGTTCCTGGAGCAGACCACATGCCCAGGCACTCACCTGCCCACTGGAGGGAGGGCATTTGGAACCAGAGGGGACCTCACGGCTCTGGCTGTGACCACGCCCTGGGTGGTCCTGGGCTTGAGCACTAAGCATCAGTCAGAAAGGGTCAGAACTGGCTTGGGGGACACGAGCTTCACCTGCCCAGCCCCTCCCAGGCCACTTCATCCCGGGTTCAGTGTCTCCTCTCAGTTTCTACAAACAACCTTACCCCAGCGACCAATCTTATCTGTGACTTTTAGAACCTCTGTTCCCTACACTCAAGACTTAGGGAGGAGCGGGGAGCTCCATCAACTCCCCACGCAGGACCCTCTGGTTTTGACCAGTGGGCCGAGGAAGACCAGAGGGACATGGCTCACAACCTCACCTGATGTGACAGGGGATGAGACCGATGCCAGAAGCCTGGGTTTGTTACAGGGCACCCCAATGTGAATTGGGTTGCCTGTCTGTGGGTCCTCACCTGCGCGCTTAAGTTTCAGTTGTACTGTGGACACACACAAAAAGGGGCAATAATGGATTTATGTACAAGGAGAAAGGTAAAGGAAACAACCTGGGAAAGAGGGAGAGAAATACGAGTTAAACTAGGATGTCTACCAGTTCTTCTGACTTGGACTCCACCGGCACCCTGAAAACCCACGAGAGCCAAACGACCAGCCGCGAACCACCAGGCTCAGAGACCCCCAGAGCCCACATGTCCAGTTTTATCCTAACCTGGCTGCTCAGCTCCGCCCTCATGTCCCAGCGTGCTTCTCCTTGGTATTGATGGGATTTGTAGTTCCAATATCTGGAGTGGGGGTGGAGTCCGTGAAACCTGCACCTGTTACAGCTTCACTCAGGTGAAGCCAGCTGTGGGGTCACCATGCAGGTCATTGAGCAGTTGCAGAGGTGGACTGGACATTTAGTTAGCACCAAGCAACACAAAAGACCTCCTGTCTCAGTCCCTTTGAGCTGCCTTAGCAGAACCACAGGGTGGTTTATAAATAACAGAAATGTGTTTGTCACAGCTCTGGCGGCTGAAGCCCAGCATCACACCTGCACGGTCAGGTTCCCGTGGAAGCTGCCTTCCTTGTTACAGCAGTGCCCCTCACTGGGGTCCTGCCTGGGGAAAGGCCAGGGATGTGGCACTCATCCCCCTCAGGAGGGTGCTGCCCCATGACTGAGACACCGCTCGCTCGCTCGCTCATGGGCCCTGCTCCTAAGACCACCTTCAGGGCTTAATAGTCAACAGAGGAATTTAGGGAGATGCATTCAGGCCAATGGGGTTCTTGAGGACCTCTGGCATCCCCCTCATATCCAGGTCTCTTGGGGAGGCCGAAGCTGAAGTCTTCCTGTTCTCAGGGAGGGGCCCCAAGGAACTGAGAGGGCCTAGAGTGGAAGCAGTTCAGAGCCAGCCAAATGCTGGCTCTGCCCATTACCAACTGTGTCCCTGGGCCAGCTGCTTCACTTTCTGTGCCTCTGCTTCCTCGTCTGTACAACGGGGAGGAGGCACCTACCTCATGGGCTTGTGCTAAACTGTGACGTGTCAAGGAATGAGGTGGCTCACCTGTCTGCTGACTGAGCCTGAGGGCGTAGCTCTCCCCCTCCCCCGAGCTCAGGGGACAGGCCTTAAGGGCCGGAGCTATCTTTGTTGAGGAAGCAACAACGAGCAGAAGGGACCAGAGACACATGTTCCCATCATGTCAGAATTTATTTCGGCCTTGACCTGCCCAGCGTTGTTTAATGGTTCCCACTCTGCCCCTCTCTGGGCCCCCAGGGAGGGGGACGTCTCCAAGCTGCTGTGGGCTGAGCCCTCCTCTACAGTAGGACTTGATCTAGGCCCTGCAGGAAGGGAGAGCTCTGATGCGTAAAAGCCAAGCAGGGGACTCCCAGTGGCACAAGTATTGGGAGGTTCAGACACAAAGGAGAGAATGAAAGCTCTGGTCAGACGGACCGGGGTTCAAATACCAGTGCTCTGGGGCCATTGGAAAGTCGAAGAAGCCTGCTGAGTCAGTGTGTTACCCGTGAAATGAATATTAAAATAAAAGACCTGCTTTTCAGAGTTATGATGAGGATAAGGGAGATCATTTCTGAATAAGAAACTGGAGTGGCTTTTGGCACATGGTAGCATCTGAATAATAAACACTGGTCTCTTTCGCCTTCATTTCCTCGATAGATAAGGCAGCACGGGGAGGCCAGCTGCCGGCTTGTCTCTCCGCTGTCCCCCTGTCCCGGGGCCACAATGGTGCAGAACTGGCCAGGGTCTGGGGTCTTGGCCTTGGTGCTGGCGGTGATCAGTCCTGGGCTTGAACAGGACGCTCCTCTTCGCATTCCTGAGCTGGACCTTGCACCTCGGCTGGCACACTCTCTCAGACAGGGAGCTGTGACCTCTGGTGGACCCCTTCAGAAATCTGCCTCTTCGTTATTTCTACCCTGCAGTCAGAGTTCTGCCTGCCAGGCTTTAAAGAGCCCCTAGTGGACAGAATTCGCGTGAGCCCTCCTGAGATCTGAAGTGGTGCCTGGGCCCAGCTTCAGCTGCAGGGGGTTGTACAGTTGTGGCAGAGTGGCTCTGGGGGAGAAGGGCCAGAGCAGGGTGGGGGCACCCTCGCTGCATCCTGCCATGCTTCAGCAGCGGTCTGAATGACTGACGGGACTCTCCC